GGGGGATTAACAAAACAGAGAAATTGAGTAAACTTAATTTCAAGGGAAAAAGAATGATTTGGAGAAAAAAAGAAAAAGAAATTTAATACTTAAGACTGAAAAACAGATGAAGGGTATTTTAAAATATTCCTTCATCACTCCGTAGTTCATCTGGGATGTTAACAAACAATGATATGAAGGGTTGATTCAATTTTGTGTTGAAAGATTTTAAAGTTTAATTCATTCTTAGCAAAAATACTTTAGGGGTCGTTCTGTAATTTGAAAATGTTAACAGATGGTACAAATGTATTCAGTTTAATAAGAGTATTCTCCTAATCAGAATCTACTAGCTTTTCCAGGATGTGGCCCTTTGAGGTCTCTCTCTCCATAGATCAGTAGCAGTGAAAGGAAGGTTGGCTGTGTTTGGAGGGGCTTGATTGGGAGGGGATCAAGATGAAGATAATCAAACTACCTGGACTGGTTTGTTTGCTGGCAGGGAATCCAAAACCTCCCTGGACAGCTACAGCCTCACTGCAAATAGGAAGAGATGGGGAAGAGGCAGGGGCGGTCCCACAGTCACATCATGTAACTCATTTTGTATAAGGCAGCAGGTGGAGAAATTATCCGTTAAACAACAAGAAACTGAGTAGGAGGAGAACGTGCACTGCTGGAAAAAAATAAAAAGTCACTTGGGGGGATTTTGCAGTGTTAGCAGTATCCAACATCAGCTAAAGTGGGCTGGAGAAAGATAAAGCAGATTAAGTTTTTCAGGGTAGCAAGGATAATGGCAGACTGTGAAAAATTGTAGAAAAGCTTTTTAGGAGCCTGAACAATGGCAAAGAGGTCTCAATGTAAATAAATATAAATCAATATATGGGGATTAAATCCAGATACACATAATAAGATGCTGGGCTCTGACTTCACCTATACTGGTCAGTAATGACACCTCAAGGTTGCAACAGAAAATCCTTTGAAAAATAGCAGCTCAGTATTTTCCAAGAGCCAAGAAGTAATTTTACTGCATATTTTTTGGAAAGACTAAGGAAAAAAAAAGAAAACTAAGAAAAAAACCCCATTCAGATATATCAGTATCCACATCTTGAACTCAGTGTGCATTCTCTGCCTCCTCACTCCCAAAGAGGTAAGATCAAAATTATGTTCAGAGGACCCACAAAAGCCTTGTTATGGAATCACTGAGGAGACTGAGACCTTTTGTTCTGGAAACTTGGGGAAGTTATTGTGGAAGTCTGTAATATCCTGCATGATAAGGACACAGGGTGTCGATGGACTGCCTAGAGACCCCTTCAGAGCAAGCACAACAGGGCCTCAGACAAAGCCAAATTAAAAATCAACAAAAGGACATAGATACCAATGCAGCAGGGAAGTACCTCTGCCTTGTGCATGCAAAAACTGAGTAACATTTTAAGAAGAAACTATGCCAGACTTTGGGATAGAGATCCCTAGAAGGTTCCTAGGTGGGCAAACAATATCATATGGGAGAAAGCACCTGAATTGAACATAGCTGTCACCAGGACAGCATCAGAGTAAAAGAATCACAAATGTTTGTACCCTTCCTGCTGTTTCCTAAATATTTTACCACTGCAACTTTTAGAGACCCTGTACTGTACTGAGGGAATCTCACAGCACAGGGTCATTTCATGGCAATATTGACAATACCTGGAGAAGCAGTTCCCTGCCACTGAGGCACAAGCCTGCTCCAGGATGAAATGTGGAGCTGAGAAGCTCTGCTGGGTGTTTGCAGGCTCAACAGATGATTAGAAGGCAGCAAGATCAGCAGCAGCCTTGAAATTTGAGCAATTCAGTAAGCAGAGATAAATAGCAGAGATAAATTGCTTGAAATGCTACAGCTGAGACAAGCACAAGAAGCTTGGCAAATGGGCTGGGACTCAGAGTCCAAGAATTACCTTACTCCTAGATGGAAACTGCAGTATTAGAATATTTCTGGAGCTCTAGGGGACCCAGCACCCTTAGCTAATGTGGTACCAGGGCTCAAAATAGTATCTTCCCACAGGAGCGTGGTAATCACTGAAATCAGCCAGTACGCGGACAATATTGGATTTTCAGGAATGTTAATTAACCAGCACATTCTAGTGATCTCTGCAGAAAGTGCTGAATTATCAACACTTTTGAAAACCAGATCTCAATACATTTATTTCCCCAAAAATACAGAGAATATCAGCAGATATCTGTAGATAGCAGTACAATAACTATTACAACACATACTTTTTTCATCCATCCTGGCAGTACTGCTCTCTACATGCCCTAAACTCTGTTGGTCAGATTTAGCTCTCATCTCCATCACCATAAATTCAGAGTCATTCTGCCAATGCAAAAAGAAGACACCAGCCAGTCAGAATATGTAACTGTCAGTTTAGTCCTTTGTAACCTAAAATTAAAGGAGGATTATTAAAAAAAACAGTTGCCAAATTATAATAAGTGAAATATGAAATTCATTTTCTATTTCAATTCTAAGAATAAACTGTCAGCAAAACCAAAATACCAGTGTTTGCTAAAGCTGGACACATAAAGTTGTAGGTTCTCCAATACATTTCACAACAGCATGCTAAGAAAATATTTTAGTGAGATTTTACTTTTAGCTTGGCATTAAGATATGATAATTTATGTGGAAAGCTGAACAAACCACTTCTAGAGATGTAAGGGTCAAATGAGCCATTAACTTTCCATTATTAAAAAGATAATTAGCAGATAGAATTCAGAATATGAATATTAACATGATACACTGCCAAAGTGTTTTATGTCATGAGATAAATGAATTAACAAAGGAAAAAATGTAGTATTTGTTAATCCAATCCTGGTGGCATCACACAAATTGAAATTTACAGGGAATCACTACCAGATTTTTGTAATAAATGTGGTGCTATACACTGATAGCAGTAAGTACCTTCCATCCTCCAAATCTTGAAGTCCATTTTACGTCTCATTAGAAGTACTCTGCATTTTGTCATTTTCATAAACCTTTGTGCTTGTTTTACATCAGCTCACTCAAAATCACACAGAAGTGCTGCTTGCACTCATGCCTTCTAAAATATATATACATTATATCACAGTGAATATTTCTGAGCTTTTGTTTTGCCATGGTTCTGTCATATTTTTCCTCTATTTCTACCATAATGATTTTCTGTACATATATATTTAAATATTAAATATTCTGTTAAATATTACAAAAGAGAGACCAAGCAATAAAGCCACAAGCACACTATGCTAGGCTGTGACTTCATAAGAGGAAGATATGCTCAGCAGCAGAACACCTAAATCACAGAATCATAGAATGGCCTGGGCTGGAAGAGACCTCAAAGATCATTCAGTTCCATCCCCCTGCTATGGACAAGGACATCTTCCACTAGTCCAGGCTGCTCAGAGCTCCATCCAGCCTGGCCTGGTACACTTCCAGGGATTGAGGAGCCACAGTTTCTCTAGGCAACCTGTGCCAGGGCCTCAGCATTCCTCACAGGGAAGAATTTTTCTTGTAATATCCAATCTAAATCTGCTCTCTGTCAGTGTGAAGTCATTCCCCCTTTGTTGTAGTATGTTTATTCAGTTCTGTTAAAATTGTTAGTTTTTCACCTGTTTGGTATGTTCCTGGTTCCCCCCCATTTACTGCTTTGGTTGGTTCCATTTGTCTGTTATGTAAACCCCTCCCAGTTTTCCTGAATGTTCCCCGTCAATCACCTTTACCCTGCCCCATCTCTTCATCCATCATTGTAAACCCCACCTCTCCTTCCAGCTCCTTCCATGTATATCATACCTTCCTCAACATGTTATTGGTTGTTGTGTTATGTTCCCGCCTTCTTTGTATCCCCATTGGTCCCTGACATTGTAACCTCCTCCCCTTACCCCTCCCTCCGTGAGCTCCCATTGGACCCTGGACTGTGCCCACCCCTGAGATAACACCCCGTGCACAGAGGTGCTTGGGGCTCTCTTCAGTCCTGATTTCTCCCGGCCCAGACCGTCGTGTTCATCCCCTCTCCCCAATAAACCTGTTCCTGGGCAGTACAGCCGAGTGAGTCTCCTCCTTCCTTTTGCCATCACCCACGACGCCTGATTTGGCAGAGCCTGGCAGGATTCGGTGCTCTGACGCCTGATTTGGCAGAGCCTGGCAGGATTCGGTGCTCTGAAGGTTCTGCAGTGGGATCGCCTTTCCCCTGCAGTTCCCCACTCCTGCCGGAGTGGCACCGTAGAGCTAGCCCGGAGCTGCGGTGCGGCCAAGAGTGGCATCACCCCTTGTCCTGTCACTCCAAGCCTCTGTTGAGAGTCTGCTTCCATTTTTCCTGTAGGTTCCCTTCAGGCACTAGAAGGCCATGGTGACGTCACCCCAAAGCCTTTTCTTGATGGCCCATAATGCTTTTACTCTCCAGCGTGGTTCCTTCATCATGAGAGTGGCTCATGAGTACCAAGTCAAAGCTTTCAGAAACCAGTGGGGAAAGCAAAAATCTCTTTATACTACTGTTAATAAGGCCTGCAGAACGTAGCCATCACTTTTAAAGCTCTGATGGAGTCACACACTTAACCTCACATACTAAGAGGGTACTCCAGGAGCATTCACAAACATAACATACGGGAAGTGATTTCTAGAGTAAAAACTCTTACGCCAAGCTTTGAGCGCTGCACGAGGGTGTTCTCCTGAGAACTTGAGAGACTCTTTGCTTGAAAAGAACACCTCAGGACACGTTCTCATAACAAACTGTCACAGCATTCACTGTCCTCTGGCCTGGCATCACCTGAGAACTGTTGCATACATGAACCATTCAGTGTGATCACACTTCAAGTGACATCATTAAGTTTATAACAAAGGATATGTCAGGACTGATACCAAAAGGGAAGAGTGGGAGGGGTTGTTTTAACTTTTTATTTTCCTCCTGCTTGTTTTGTCAGTCTTCAGCAAATAAAGATGTCTCAAGCAAAACTTGAGTCCCTTTGCAGGGGGCATGACAAACTATCTATCAGTGTTAGTTTAATACTGATCACAAATGCTTTTGTTCTTGGCATGCAGTAAGGAGAGTATTCAGAGATGAGAGATTTAATCTGCAAAACTGGGAGCAAGGAAAACTAAATTTAGCAGATTTAAGCAGTAACTGGCAAATGAAAAGAGATGAGGAGACTAAGGCATGAAAAATTAGATGTATATATTAGCTTGCTAAAGAAACAATACAGAAAATTGTGCTTTTGCCTTTCATTACTACTACACATCGTGGCACTTTTATTATGCAAATGTTGCACTTGTGGTCATGGATAATTTAAATGCATTGTGATAGCCTGACTATAAAGTTCTTCCATCAGATCAAAGTCTCATTTGCACAAATTTGGGAGGACAGCACATGTCACCTTATATTCCTACTTTGATTTATCTTGGCTACTCTGTTCTATTTTCTTATACACAAATTATAATCTTGGTAATACAGAATCTATCTCTTTTTTTCAGTGTGGATTCAGAACTGATTAACTGGATCGCTGAATAACTGAGCTGGATTCTCATCTGTTGTACACCCCAACAGTAGTATAAATAGCAGTAACCACACAGATCCAGCTCTGGTTATATAACTTCTGCACATGATGGGAAAACATTAAAAATACAATTTTAAATTTAGCATTCACTATTAAAAAACATTCAGTGGGGCTTTTGCCAGGAAATTCACACATCAATCGCAGATAGCTGAACAGATGTTTTGGCTAAAGCAGGCTTCAACTGGGACATTCACACACATACAAAATGACCTCTTATGCTGGTAAGATATTATGATTTTAGAGCTTTCTCAAATCTTGCTTTAACAAAGACTGTTAACTAAATATTTGCAACACGTGTTAGCTCTTTTCAAATATTTATAGAGATAGTTTACAAAAAAAGATGCAGCTATTTGCAGTCCTCATTTTCGACTAAAAGTACAAACGCACCGGTTTGCATAACTCCAGAAGTCTAAAAAATGCCTTTATTCCCCTCAATTCCACATGTTAGTATAAATGTATATGTATAGATACAAATGTATATACACAGTTATATATAACCAAATTAGAAATCCCCACTTGAACATTGCCCTTCCAGGGAAACTGGCATTCAAAGCTTCTCCTCCTGCCCCCACCAAAGGAATAAACACCATTTGGGCTTTTCACATTTCCATTTCCACTCCAGCGCACTTCAACTGCCTGTAAGTAATAGGTCAATATATCAACATCTAATTATGATGTGTTTGTCCAACTCAGAACCTCTGGAGAAAAATAACAGCAATTTCATGGCAGTAATGAACCTCTTGCCACCAACTGAACAAAATAGGTTGTTAAGTAAAATTTAATAACTGCAAAATTCTACATAATTCAATAGGTATTTATATATGATCACTAACTAAAGTTTTACGTTTGCTAAAAAGTGGTCTTTAATAAATACAGCTGTCAATGTTACAGGCAAGTGGCAGAATAAAGACAAATTTCTTGTGAGGAAGGAAAGCTGACAATTTATATCAGGTGCGTGCAGGTGAAAGAAAAATATTTTAAGAACAGAAGCTGTGGGAAGCAGATTTTCAGTTGTGGGAAATAAGTGTATAGATAAATACAGACATGCTGCCAAGGGAAAACTTCCCATTTTTCATGCTCATTCCCCTTCACACAAATGCTTTCACACATTTTTTTGCCCAGAGAAGCTGTGGCTGCCTCATCCCTAGAAGTGTTCCAGGCCAGGTTTTATTGTGCTCTGAGCAACTTGGGACAGTGGAAGGTATCCCTGCCCATGGCAGGGCATTGGAACAGGATGATCTTTAAGGTCTTTTCCAACCCAAACCATTCTGGGATTGCAGGATTTGAAAACCCATTTTCCAGTGGAACAACTTAGCATTCACATGGTTTTCACCTCCGGTTTTCTGCTGTGTTCTGTTCAACAATAAAGGAGATGAAAACAGGAAACCAGAACTGAAACGAACCCAGACAGGATGCCAGGGAACACAGGAACGGGAGATCTTGTGCTCAAAAATACCTTCAGTCCCATAATGGTTTTTGGCTAATTAGGTTTGATTCCTTTCTCTGCCCTTATGTATTTAACATTTTAAATTTAACAACATTCTAAAAGGAGTAACTCATTTCACAGCAGTTTTAGCATTGACATAGAGAAAGACACAGATATGAGTTCTGCCAGACTTCACTTCAGGAACTCCAGGAGATAACAGCAGCTCCTCAAGCTCCTGTCATTCCTCTGAACAGGAGGCATCTGAGAATCAGCATGAACTTTGCTGTTCAAAGGCACCTACCCCTTTATACTGATTATACAAAAATGAACCTGAATACAGGCACCTGGATATGGAGAGTATCAGGCAATAGGAGTTTACCCTGTCCTGTTAGTACTTGAAAGAGCCCTTAGGTCTGTATTAAGAAAATGACAGCAGCTCAGGGAATGATTCTGCATCTCTGCCCAGCCCTGCCAGGCACATCTGAAGAGCTGTGTCCAGCCCTGGGCTCCTCAGCACAGGAGGGACAGGGAGCTCCTGAAGCAGGGCCAGCAGAGGCTGCAGAGATGATTTGGGGCCTCTGTCCTGGGCAGTGACTGAGCCCTGAACAGATTGTCCAGAGAGGGTGGGGAGTCTCCTCACTGGAGATATTCCAGAACCATCTGGACACAATCCTGTGCTGTGTCCTGTGCTCTGGAGCAGGGAGGTGGTACAAGTGACCCACTGTGGTCCCTTCCAGCCTGACACATCCTGGGATTCTGATTCTGCCTCTTTCATTTCTTCCACTTTGCCATTTGTTTTCAAGGGTCCAGGTAGCAGGAGGATACCTACTGCCTCAATTCCTGGATTCAGCTTACAGCACTTGATGTACGATTCTTTGGCTACACTTCTTATTGTGGTTTCAATTATACTGGAATGTTCTGTAATTATATGCCAATTATTATATTTGATAACTACTGTGTACTGATGCATACAACTGAAGGAATACATTTTACAGCTACCTACTAGTCTTCTGTGGTGCTTAAAATTCTACAACATGAACAAAATTGGTTTTACATTCTAATTACATTTGCATATTTTTATGAAATAATGGAAGTGAGAATTGTTAAGCACACAGGACATGGCTACAGAATTGCTATACTGATATCAGGAGGGTTACCAATCACTATATTATAAAACCACACCTACTTTTAAATACTGAAATGAACTGTCTTTAATTACATCATCTAGGAGGTCACCTGATATGGGGGGGTTTGTCCTGCCAGAGAATCTGAGCATTAATGAAGATATGGAAAATAACAACAATTTGCAGCTGGATCTTGGTAAAAGCATTCTTTGGGCTGAGTTTTCTTTGAAGAGACTTGCCAGTTGGTGGCCAGATGTGGCAAAACATCTCTATACCAACAAATACTTTCCAGGAGAGTCACTTTTGAGCTGTGGCTCACAGGTGAAAAACAACTCAGGGTCCCTTGTGGTGCAAGCTGTATCTTAGGTCGTCACTACGGTGCTCTCAGGTGCCTCCTGCAACATCAGCTGAAAAGCAAAGCAAGTCCTTTAATGAGCAAACTTTGGTGCCTCACCGAAACGTAACTTGGCCAGCATTGGGTGAGCAGTTTCTTAAGGACAGCTTTGAAACAGGAGACAATAACAGAGGGAGGAAATTTTGCACAGAAGTTGCTGAGAGAAAAGCACTTTGGAACCATGAATGTCCAGCTGTCCCAGCTGTGGATTTTCTCAATGGAGAGGATCACAGTTAATGAAATATTCTGAGTTGAAAGGGACCCACAGGGGTCATCAAGATGTCCTGGATGTTGTGACTTCACACAGGCCTGTGAGTGATGGCAGCTGATGGGCAGCAGGGAAGGGTGAAGGGCTG